CATAACTACTATGGAATTGTTTTGCATAACTGCACACGTATAACCTATATTGAGTTGCTTGCCTTTTCAATGAGGGTGGGTGGGGAGGGAGGAAGGGAGAAAATTTGGAACCCAAAGTTTTTTAAAAACACATGTTTAAAAAAATGTTTTCACATGCAACTGGGAAATAAGAAATACAAGAAATGGGGTATAGAAATCTATCCTGCTGTACAGGCAAATAGAAGGGGAAGGGGATAAGAGAATGGGGGGGAGAGATAGAAGGGAAGGCAGACTAGGGGAAGAGATATTCAGAATGCATGCCATCTTGGGGTTGGGGTAGGGGCAAGATGGGGTGAAAATTTGGAACTCAAAATCTTCTGGAAGTAAATGTTGAAAACTAAAAATAAATAAATTTAAAATAAAAAAATAAAAATATAAGTATAAAAAATAGAAAATATAATAAAAAAAGAAAAAAGTTAGTAAAGCAAAGATGATTTGGGAAAAAAACAAAAAAGCTTTTTCATACACACACATACATGTATATATGTAAGCTTTAATAATATATATTACTGTGGTCCCATTGGGACAAATGTACGTGGTAGAATTCATATCTGTTAATTGACATTTTTGTTGAATTCAGAGTTCAGCTGATACTCTGTCTCTTTCCTTCTCTTCATTGCCAGATTTCTAGAAAAAATAATCCCCCCTCAGGGCCTCTGCTTCTTCATCACCCCCTCACTTGTCAGCTTCCTCACAGCCTGGTTTCTGCTTCCACCATTCTAGTGAAACTCCTTTCTGAAGGCCACCAATGACCTCCTTCCCAATGGAGAGGTCAGAGATCACAGAGAGTGTCTGGAGTGCCCCAAACACACAAGTGGTACATGGTCGATCAGTTGACTCTGGCCTTGGCTCGCTTCTCTTCTTTGTCTGTTCACTCACTTTGACATCTCACCTTTGCCTTTGACTGCATTTTATTCTTTCACCAAGTCTCTTCCAAACCTTGACCCCACACTTCAGTTCCGTATTTCAGAGGGGCATCTCCACTTGGATGTCTCACAACACTTTGAATTTAGCATGTCGTAAACTGAATTTATCACTCCTGTCTCCAGACCTACTGATCCTAATCTCCCTATTACTGTCCACGGCACCACTATACCCTGGCTTAAAAAATAGGAGTCATTAATGGCTGCCACCTCCCTCTTTCTCTTATTTAATCATTTGCCAAGTCCTATCAGTTTTACCTCTAACCTATCTCTTGAACTCTCCCCTCTCTATTCACATAGCCACCACCTTAGTTCAGGCCCTTGTTACCTCTCATCAGAATTCTAATAACTTCATAACCAGTCACCCTGCTTCCAGACTCTTCCCTCTCCAAACCATTGTTTACATAGCTGACAAAATAATAGCATAATGCACAGATCTGACCATGTCATTCATTCTCCTGCCCCAAACCCGTCAGTAGCTCCTTCTTGTAAAATACCAACTTTGTAGCCTGGTAATCAAGGCCTCCTACAGGTTGATGACTACCTGCGTTTCTAGCCTTTGCCTGGTCAGTGCTTAAGAAATGCTTGTCCATGTGAGTGACTTAAATCTGCATTTTCTACTCTGACTTTTCTATTGAATTCCAGTTTTTAATTTCTAATGCTCATACTCTACTGGACATCTCCCACTAGATGTCCCACCAGTCACTAGTAAGTCAACAAACATTTATTAAACACCTATTCTAGCCAAGTGCTGGGGATACAAAGAAAATAAAAACTTTGCTTTCAAGGAGCTCCCAGTCTGATAGGGGAGACAACATGCAAATAACCATGGACAAACACGCTACAGAGAGAGTAAATTGGAGGTAGTCAATAGAGGGAATGTACCAGTGTTAAGGGAGATCAGGAAAGATTTCTTATAGAAGGTGGAATTTTAACTGCAACTTGAAGAAAGCCAGGGAAGCCAGAAGGCCAAGATGAGAAGGGAAAGCATTCTGGGCATGGGAGACAGGCACTGAAAATGCTCAGATAGGGAGATACCAAGGTGTGTCTAGTTGATGGAACAGCATGGAGGCTAATGTCTCTGGATCACAGACTGACATGGAGGGGAGTAAGATGTAAGAAGACTGAAGATTTAAGAGGGGGCCAGGTTACGAAGGGCTTTGAAAACCAAACAGAGGACTTTAGATTTCATCCTGGAAGTGATAGTAGAGTTTAGCGAACAGGAGGGTGACGGGATCAGACTTAGGCAGTAGGAAGATTAATCTGAAAGCTGAGTAGAGGATAGACTGGACCAGTGCTTCAAAACCCAAGTGTCCAAATCTCCCTCAAAATCCTGTTCTTCTTCTGACTTCCCTGTTTTTATTTATGGCATCAGAAATTGCTTTTCTCATGTTAGAAAATGCGTCATCATCTTTGACTCCCTCCCCCCACAACATCATCAGTTTGTCCAGTCCTGGCAATTTTACCTCTTTAATATGTCTCATCCATTTCTTCCTTTTCATTCTTTCTTGTAACTCACGCTTGCAAAGGGTTTTGTCCCTAGAGCCCTGTGAGGTTGGTAGAGGAGGTGCTTTCATCCCATTTTGCAGATAAGTAAACTGAAGTTTCTGCAGGCCAAGAGAATTTTTCATGTTTACGTAGCTGGTAGGTGTCCCTGCCCAGTGTTCTTTCCACTACACCACACTTCCACCATCCCAGTTCAAGCTTCCGTTACCAGTCATTAGATTGTTACAGTAGCTTCTTAGTAGGCTCCTCACCTTCCCTTGTCTAACCTGTCCCATCTGCCACTACTCGATGTAGTTTTCCTGGTGCCTAGACTGCCTGAGCTAAAATCTCTCCTTCCTTTTGACTTCATTTGTATCCTTTGGAAGGACTTATTTTGCATTCTAGCTTCTTTTACAGATGTCCTTTTTATAACTAGTTTATATGCTCCTTGAGTGCAAGAAATGTGTGTCTTAATTAGGACAGTGACTTACACATAGTTAGTGTTCATTAAACATGAGTTTAATTGCATCACATTTAATGTACTTGACTTTGAGTAAGTGTTGTGGTGGAGCTAAGAGGTTATAAATCAGTCTATTTTTACTTTGTTGCTGAGGAATTAGAATTATGAACCTTACCTTGCTGATTCTAGTGAAGTGTTTATAACATATCAGGTATGTTAAGGAAACGCCTGCTCAGTTATTTTTTAAAAATTCCCTACCTCTGAGGGTCTTCTTGTATCTGTCTTACCAGTGGGAGACCTGAGGTGCAAAGAATTTGTCCGGAACTAAGTAATAGCTCAGCATTAAAGCTTAATTTTTATAATTAAGCCTTTGAGAATTTATGAGATTCAATTTGTGATCTTAGATGAAATTCTGTTAGTAGCAGCATTAAGCAGTGAAGAAAGCTAAAAAAACTGGGCCTCACCTGCCACAGGAAGTATATTGCTTGACATGAGGCAGTTCCCCAGGAGCTGGAAAGGTTTGACGGGAATACTTCTTCACCTAAGTAGATCAGCACAGATTTTCCTAAACCTTTTCCCCTGAATTGAAGTTTTCAAAGTCAGTGGCAGCTGTTCCTAGAATACATGTGGTGCCTTACATTTTTGACTCTTCTAACTCTTTAACAGTATGTGATAGACAAGACAGGAGACCATCTCCTAGAGGGAATCCAAGCATCTCTTGCTTCTAGTAAACAAGTGGGCAGCTGCATGATTCTTTTTGTCATTTCTGCACAGAGATTAGAAAGTGACTTTGTGTCTGCTTCCACCTCACCCCACACAGTGAGCTTGTGTGAGCTATATCTGCTTTGTAGACTGCTTTGCCACTGGCTCCCCAAATATGACAATCTCATGTTGGCAACTAAGCTTCTGGGATGTCCACATTCAGTGCCCAGTGATGAAGGCACAGTTATCCCATGCCCACCCTTCCTAGCAGGAGCAGGCCAGCAGGGTCTGGTTTGGCCCAGAAGTATCCAGTATGAGATCTGAAGACCTCAGCAGTTGATAGAGCACCAGCCCTGACGTCAAGAGTACCTAAATTCAAATCTGGCCTCAGACCAGACACTTGACACTTACTATCTGTGTGACTCTGGGCAAGTCACTTAACCCCAATTGCCTTTAAAAAAAAAAAGACCTTCTCAGGCAGCTCATCTGCAGTATACTACTGTATGCTGAGTATGTACAAGGGTCCAAGACCTCTGGGAGCTTACAGTTCAGCTAGATGAGGAGACGAGATATTCATACATGAGATGTTAAAAAAACAACCTGGATGACAGTCCGAGGCCCGTAGTCTTTCACTTCCTTCACTCCTTAATACTCTGAATGCTAGAGTTTCATCTAAGATTGTGTTATATTTAAAGTCTGGAGGTTGATGAGGTCACTCATCACAGACTGCCTACTGTGCCAGAATGCATCTGCTCTTCACTTCTACCACTTTGCATCCCTGCTTCCTTGTAAAGCTCAGCTCAAGGGCTACTTTCTACATGTGGCCTTTCTCTATCCCCCTCCCCCGGTCCAACAGTTACCTTGGGGGGTATGTGTGTGTGTGGGACAGAGAGAGAGCGCGAGCGAGCATGAGAGCACACATACATGTTCGTATTGTCTCCCCAGTAGAGGAGAGGAGAGGGACTGTTTAATTTTGGTTTTCTTATCCTCAATGCCTTGGGTAGTGCCTAGTGCATAGTACTTAGTATCTGTTTGCTGGCTGAGTGATTGCTGTAAAGTGACCAGTGATTAAGTGTTAACAGTTAGTGAAAGAGAAATTTAGAGACAGGGAGGGTAGGTTGGAGCAATCACGGAAGGTTTCATAGAGGAAATAGGTACTAGGTTGGGCATTACAAGATTGATAGGATTTTGGTAGGAGGAGCATAGGAAACGGTGACCAGGGTCTGGGGGCAGAGAGAAGGAGGAGCAGAAATAGCCTGAGCCAAAGCTCCATGTGAGTGATATGCTTCAGGGAAAGAGAAATGGGTGGTTGGGCTGGAGTGCCCTCTCTTTACTTGATGACGGACAGTCTTGTTTTCTGGCCTGACATCTTGTCCTCTCTCCATCCACAGAAAGGGCCCCCGTCTGGGAGTGACCGAGTGAAGAAGGGAGGATCATACATGTGCCATAAGGTAAAAGTCACTTGGGAAAATGCATGTATTTCAAGACAGGCTCGTGGAGTTGCCAGCACTGACTCCCATGTAGGGACAATAGCCCAGCCTAGCTGTCCTGCTGCTCATCCAAACTGAGCTGGCTCTGTTACAGCCACGAGGATGTGATTGATGATGCAAAAGTCGAGGCTATGAATGGCCTGGGGAGGTCCTGAGAGCCTAATGAAGAGGAACACAGAAGATTGCCCGTATTAATGCCAGATACCGTTTCTCTTCTATTCGTTTTATTTGGAGACAGTCCTGTTTCAGAAACTTATTCGAAATGAGTGTACATTACTAATAGTTTATGTACTTAAGGGCTTACTAGCTGAATGACCTTGGGAAAGTCATCTAGCCCACTCTCATGTGCAAAAAAAGAGTTATAATGCTTAGACTGCCTCCCTTCTAGGGCTATTGTGCAAAACGTGCTTTTTAATCTTAAAGCTCTCTGTAAGTGTTGGCTATTGCTACTATTTCTGCTACTACTACTATTACTACCACCACCAAAGAAGTTATGGTTGGTTTCCCTGAATAGGAGTAGTAGATTGTATTTGTTTACTAGATTCTAGAGATTCTACTGAAATCTTTGGGATTAGTCTGAGAATTTAACAAAAAAAGACGGTGGGTGGAAGACTTTGGCAACCCTCATTAGCTTAACTTTTGAAATAATTCTAGGTATAAAATGTGTGCCTTGTGAAACCTACGTGGTTTGTGGTGGGTTTTTGTTTGCACTTGGGTTTTTTGCTTTGCTTTTTTTCACCCTGTCAATGACAGAACTGCTCCTTTGTAGGAGTAACTTGTGGTGCATGTGCCAAAGGCAGAAAGAATTTGGAACGTGACTTGACCTGAAGTGAAGTGATGCTAGCCCACATTTAGTGCTTCATTGTTTGCAAAAGTACTTTCTTTACAGCAGCACTTGTAGATAAATAATGCAAATGTTGTTGTCCTCACTTTATAGATAGAGGATCCAAGACTCATGAGAAACCTGGGATGGCCCATATTATTTTCCCAGTTAAGGAGAGAGATTTGGTAATGGGAGTGAGTTCAGTAGAAAAGAAGATAAGCCTAATTTCTTTAAATTGCCTACAGAATTTCTTTTCATTTTATTTCCACATGTAGGCAGTGCTTATGCATGGAAGAATACTGTAAATCTTCTAGTTCTAAAACTGTTCATTAGGTCAGGTTTAGAGCTCAAAAGGATCTTAACAGTTATTTAGCTCAGATTTCTCATTGTTTAGATGAGGAAAGTAAGATCCAGAATAAGAAAATTAAATTATTACACATTGAAGAATCTAACCTATTCTTTTGGCTCCAAGGCTAGCTCTTTCCACTGTACCATTCTGTCTCATAATAAAACCTTGGTGATCTATGGCTCTGAATTCCTCAAATCTCAGGGCTTATACAGATAGGGTCAGACCTCCTAAAAGACTGCTTTTTCCTTTGCCTCCAGCCTACAGTTTATTCCAAGGAAATCTCCAAAATAAAACTTAGTTATAGTTCTGTCTTGGTTTCTCAAATGTGGATAAAAGGATCTCCCAGCTCTCGCACAAGCACTCTAGGAGCTAAAGTCATCTCAAGTAGGACAGCCTTTAATAAACTACGCAGAAAATGCAGAAGATGCAGAGGGCTTACAAGAGCCAATTAACAAAAACAGAAAATACAGAAAGTACTCAAGTAAGTTATAAGGCCACTCAGAAGCTAACAAAACTTAAGAGTCATCATTGGGCCAACTCTTTGACATTTTGGTGCTTTCCTCTTTGTTACAGGGTCTTAACATATTTTCTCCCCTAGGCTCATAGTCATATGCTGTGGTTTAGGTTCCCACCAAAAGGCAAATGTACTCTGGAGGCTGTTGAACAAGTAATTCCCTCCCCATTTACTCATTTGGGTGGAAGTTTATAGAGTATGTCATTGAGAATACAAATATAAATCAGGTAGTAGCCAACAAACTTTATGTTGAACATCCATTGTTTTGATTTTGAATCATAAAACCATTTTCCCAAATCCTGTCCACATATGATTTTTCTCCTTGCCCTTCCCCACTTGCAGAATTCTTTATTGCTTTTGGATTCCTCAGCTACAAGCTATATGTACATATGTACTTAGACTGATTTGGTGGATTTCCAGATGGGTTTCTGTGAAATATGGGGTGTCTATGTATGCCTTAGAGGAGGGACACAGTATGAACTTGACCTTTCCCTGTGCAAAGTAAGCTCTCTGGGAGAGTGTGAATTCACTTTCTTCCCTGGAATTTATGAAGAAAAGCATAGTGAAATAATTGAATTGGAGAAGCAATGAGAAAGAAGTGACACCATGTTGATATGGAAATTCATTTGAGTTGGCCATAGGCCTGAACCTTTAAAAGGGTCAGGAGTTCTCATTAGAAAAAGAAATGTAGGGAGGAGAGCAAAAAACAGTATCTTTCCCCCAAAGAGGTAGCTACAATAGGAAGAAAAGCCAATACCTTCCCATGAAGTGCTACTTAGGGGTGAAGAGAGAGACAGAACTGTAGAAACAGAGTCACCCACAGGGGAGAGACACAGACTCATTCTCCAGGAGCAGAAGCACTGAGCCCAGACATCCAGGAGCACCCACTGTCCTTGTCAGATCCTCATTCTAATCCCAAAGATTTCAGTGAAGTCTATAAGCAGTAAACAAACAAAATCTACTTTGTCCCATTCAGAAGAAGCCAATCATAACTTTTGTAGTAGTAGTAGTAGTAGTAGTGGTAGTAGTAGTAGTAGTGGTAGTAGTAGTAGTAGTGGTAGTAGTAGTAGTAGTAGTAGTGGTGGTGGTGGTGGTGGTGGTGGTGGTGGTGGTGGTGGTGGTGGTGGTGGTGGTGGTGGTGATGATAGTAGTGATAGTTCCCTGAAGACAGATTTGCAAATCCATATGGTCCTCTAGGAGGGGAGACAATGCTTGAAAGAGAAGCTACTTGGATATATTCTTTCAATGGTACTGAAAGTCATGTGAACTTTATAGGACCCATTTTAGGAGTTATCTTTGACTGCTTGTGGGCTCAGGTGCGAGTACTTTGAATCTTCTGTCAGGTTAAATAAAACTTGTCCTCTGTTCAGGTTGGTAATGTGTAACAGCCTCTTGTCTCTGTTGCCCACTGTTTCTCCATCAACTGATTTTTCGGAGGCTGTGATATTCATAGCCCTGATAATCATAGCACTTGCAATATCAGTGGAAGAATATTGTCATGTTATTATGTTAAAAAGATGGCCCTTTGCTTTGTGTCAAGCTTTGTATTTTTTAAAGTACTGGAAATTGCTAACGGCAATCCAGCCAGCTCTCCCCTCCCAGCTCAGGTTCATTGGCTATGCCTAGCGTCTGGAGGAGACGCATGCACCAATGGAGGAATTGTAAAGTTTGTCTGTCTAGCTGCGTTGCCAGTCTTCTTTGGCTTGGGCTTTCCAATGTCAATAAACCAAATTCTTTTGACTTTTGATCATTGAGCTCATTTATCAGGTTCTGTAATGTTCTGGGGCATGATCAGTCAGTACAGTGTCATCCACTAACAGGAGCATCTGGAAGACCTCACCATCCCTAAGGACTGTCTCTGCCTCTTCCATTTGGCTTTGTAAACTAAAGGTTATTCATCTTTGTAAATAACTCCTCCAGATGAATAGACATTGATAAAGAGATGGGAGAATAAGCTTGTCGTCTTCCCTGAGCCCTCCAATTGTTAACGTTCTCTGTTTCCTTAAAATGTTTTAAATTTACTTCTATGCTTACATATTATATCATCCAATAGAACATAAACTCCTTTAGGGCAGGAATTTATTTTTTATCTTTGTATCCACAGCATATAGTACCTGGTACTTGGTAGGCACTTAATGTTTATAGAATTGAATTGGGTAAATCCCTGTGATGACCTTTAACTCTTGTGTCAGTCAGCATAAACTCTCTCTTGCATCACACCCTATTTTCTAATAAATATTTCTATACCATGTTTTCTGGTCAGAGGCTGCAGATTTCTTACCAGGAGTCAAGGGTGTGTGTTGTATTCTGTTCTTGTCCTAAAAATTATTCTAGCACGGAGGCCTTTTTCATAAAAATGAGGCTATCTGTGTGTTGTTCTGCCTGACTTCTGAGCCCTGCTGTTGGTAGACCATTCTCATTATTAGATTGCTTCCATCTCTGAGATCACATTTTCAGCACCAATATCTGGCTCAGGTGAAATCAATGTCAGACATTAATTAACTATTTTGATTAAGTTTATGCTGGAATGAATTTCTCTCCTTTTTCATGATTAATAAAGTGACCCAATTTAAGGTACCCAAAGACCTCTCATCCTAAAGAATCATTTCTTGTGCTAAAAGTGGATATTAAAAAAAAACCCCACATACACTCATAAGCTTACAATGGGAACATTCAGAATTAGGCCATGTAACTGTTTAATTACTTGATCCATTAGTTGCCAAAGATTAGAATTTCAAGTGAACCACTTATCTCTAGAAAATGGATTTGTGGTGTCACTTGCCAGTGTTGGGTTAGGAGGGCAGAGGGAGGGGAGGATACTGATTCTCTTGTGATGACTGGCAGGAATTAGTAGCAAGACTTCTTCCCTCCTTTATAAGTTGAGTTCATGATCTTTTAGATTGAAGCAAAAACTAGAGAGAAGAGAAGAAAGGGGTTTTAGCAACTGATCTGATCCCATTTAGGCTCCGTGATTGAAATGTCTTCTGTAGCCATGGGCCGGTTCTTCCTGCCCTCGTCATACCACATCTGGAGCACTGCGCTTAGTTAGCCCCAGCAGCTGCATTTCATGAAGGATATTGATAATGGAGCATGTCCAGAGGAGAGCAGTCAGGATGTTAGGGGTGTTGCTCCATGGGGTACAAGAATCACTTGATGGAGCTGGAGTAGTTTAGATTTGTGAAATGAAGACTAGGGGGTGGGGATGGCTGTATTCAAGTACTGTTGTCACATGGAAGAGGGAGTAGACTTGACCTGTTTGGCCCCAAAGGGCAGAA